TTTACAAACGATAATATTTTTATAGATATTAACACTTGATAATACAAGAGCTAATGACAAAAAGGGGTAACTACCCCCATATCTTTTCTAGCTAAAGCTAACAGCCAATTTGGGAATGAAATTTCCCATTCAATGTTTCTAACCGACTTGACTGCAAATTGAGCCATGGCATGGCTACAACCATTAGCAGTTTTGGGCACAAAAGAAAAAACATGTCGGTTAAACCTCATCTTTAGGATCTCAATGTCTTCCAGGATTGTTTGTAGTTTACAATCCTGAACATTGCCCGTATTAATAAGGCTCACTACATTTTACAATCAGATTGGACTTCTATGTTTGTCCATCCTGCAATTTGAGCCATTACCAGCACACCTCTGATAGCAAGTGTTTCCTCAGTGGCTGCTTCCCCTCTTTTCCTCTCAGTGATTCCTTTAGCTCCCACTATCTCCCTACGCCAGTTCCTTGCAATAATCCCCAGTCCTATTCTGACCATTGTAGCTGAGATTGCTGCATCCTTGTTAATCTTCATTACCCCTTCCTTAGGTGGCTCCCATCGCAGCTGAACCTGTTCTTCCTTTTCTACTGATGCATTTGCTCGCGAGTCTGATTCATTCGCCATATCAAATTCGAACCATTCCTACTAAGCTTTGTCTACTATTCTTTTGGCTTGCACATTCTCCATCTGGAATGCCATCTTGTTTCTAGCTTTCCAGATTTGCCATAGAATGTTCATCGTGAGCTTGATTCGGTCTTCTCCTTGTACCTCCTTAGCTGATTGCATCACGGCGTCCCACCATCTCCACATGTTACACTACAGTTCAGCTATCCCTTCCCACCTTACAGGAGCTAACTTCCATACCACTTGAGCTTTTGGACAAAAGAAAAAAATGTGCTCTATGGTTTCGATTTCCTCCCCACAACAGTTACATATACTGCTGCCCTTTCCAATTCTATTATAGAGTGCTTCACTAGTAGCTAGACCATTTTGCAGACACCTCCATAAGAAGTGTTTCAGTTTCATCTTAATATTTAAGCTCTACAATCTTTTCCACACCGTATGCTTCCTAATTTCCTAGCTGGTCTCTGAGTCAGTTGCTAGCCTTCAGTTCATGGTGTTTTCTTCCCCCTTTGCAACCACATATCCTGTCTTCACTGTGTATATCCCAGACTTACTATGACTCCAGAATAGTCTGTCTTTCTTTTCATATAAGCTAAGGGAAATGCTAGTGATGAACTTCATATCCTCTGCATTAAACCAGCGCCGCAAGTAATCTGTCTTCCACTTCCCTCCCGCTATTATTTCATGCACAAACTCTAGCTGGCAACTTGTTGGTTTTGCAGTTGAAACTCTTCCATTGACCGATCCAGGTATCCACCTATCTTGCTAGATCTTTACTAACCTTCCATCTCCTACTCTCTTCCATAATCCCTGTTGTAGTAGTTCTCCCCCTTTGTGAATGCTTTTCCAGCACCAGGATGCATTGCTAGGAGGCTGTTGTTCTAACCAGTCTTCCTCCTTCATATACTTAGCTTTCAAAACTTTGCTTACTAACAAATTTGGATTAGTAACAACTCTCCAAATTTGTTTTTGCAAGCAAGGCTATATTGAAAGCTTCCAGATCTCTAAAACCCAATCCCCCTTTCCCTTTAACTTCTGAAAGTTTACTCCATCCAACCTAGTGCACTTTTTTTTTCAGATTCCCCCCCACCCCACCAGAACTGAGCTATACTAGCACTAATGTCCTTGCACAAGCCTTTAGGAAGTTTAAAACAAGACATAATCTATGTAGGCATGGCCATAATGACTGACTTGATCAAGACCTCATTACCCCCTTGACTTAGCAGCTTTTGTTTCCAACCTTGAAGCTTGCTATTAATTTTACTTTTCAGATACCCAAAGACCTGGTTCTTAGCTCTCCCTATAGTCATAGGTAGTCTAAATATTTTCCACTGTGAGCCTCTCTCATTTTGTCCAACACCTCGCTTATCTCCCCTCTAATCATATTAGGAGTATTTCTAGAGAAAAACATGGCTGATTTTTTGAAACTAACTTCCTGTCCAGTCGCATGACCATCGAGCTAAATGATCTCCTTTATCTTCTAAGCTTTCTTTTTGCTTGCTTTGCAACACAAAAGAGAGTCATCTGCAAAAAATAAATGAGAAACCATAGGGCTGTCTTTGCATACTTTGATGCCAATTAATTGCTTTCTTTCCATAGCTTTCTTGAGTAAATTAGAAAGCCCTTCAGTACAAATAATGAACAAGTAGGGAGATAAGGGATCTCCTTGCCGGATTCCTCTGGAAGGCTTAATATACCTCACCTTTTGTCCATTCAGATTAAAGGAGTAAGAAACTGTGGAAATGCAAGTCATGATCCAGTGAACAAATGTAGGACAAAAACCCATGTGCATCATAATTCTTCCTAGAAATTTCGACTCCACTCTATCATATGCTTTAGACATATCAAACTTAAGAGTCATGAATCCTACTTTACCAGTTCTCTTGCTCTTCAGAAAATGCAAAATTTCATGTGTAATGATGACATTGTCTAGAATTTGTCTCCCTGGAACAAAAGCAAATTGAGATGGGCTAATGCAATGCTTAAGAACTTTTTTCAATCTATTTGCCAAAATCTTAGAAATGGTTTTATACAACACTGTGCAAAGGCTAATATGTCTGAAATGGATCAACATTACTGGATTATCAACCTTTGGGATTAATGAGATGATGGTCTCATTAATAGTTTTAAGGAGATTGCCAGTATGAAAAAAGCTAGTAATGGCATTGACAATATCAACTTTGATAATATTCTAGTATGTTTGGAAAAATAATGGGGACATACCATCAACTCCAGGAGCTTTGTTAGGAAACATGGAAAAGATGGCTTGTTTGATCTCCAACTCGTCCACTGGTTTAATCAACTGTGCATTCATCAGATTGGAAATAGTGCGAGGTATGCCTTGCAGCACGTCATCAAATTCTTTTGGGTCATTGGATGTGAAGAGCTCTGTATAGTGCTTGCTCAATTCATCTTCGATTTCCTTTTCACTCCTACACCACTATTTGTCTTCTGGAGCATACTGATCCTGTTTCGCTTTCTTTTAGCCATAACACTTAGGTGAAAGTAAGCTGTGTTTTTGTCCCTCTCCTTGAGCCACCTACTTCTTGATTTCTGGCTCCAGTATAGCTCCTCATCCTTGTACGCATTGCTTAATTGTAGCTTCAAGGTTGTAATAACTCTTTTGTTGCATTGCTCACCTTCCTCACACGCTGCCTTCAGTTGCTCCTTTAGCTCCTGTATTTTTGCCTTTGTGTTACCTTTGGCTGCCCGGTTCCATTCAATCAGAGCTATTCTACATTCCCTAATTCTTTTCACTACTTTAAACATTCTGGAACCTTGTTGTTCCACCTCCCAAGCTCTTTTAATTACAGCTTCAGAACCTTTGTCTTTTGCCCATCTTTGGTCAAAAAAGAATCTTCTTTTTACTCTCCCTTGCTTCAGATTTGTGTCTACCATTAGAAAGCAGTGGTCAGACGCCTTTTTTCAATATGTTCACAGGTTACTTTCTCATGCAACTGCACCCACCCAACACTACCTAAGCATCTATCTAACCTCTCTTTTATTTCCCCCTCCCCCTCTCATGTGTTACTCCAGGTCCAAGGAACCCCCTCATACCCTATATCCACGAGCTCATTTCCAGAGATAAAACTATTAAAGTACCTAAAACTACTCTCTGACCTTTCCCTCCCTCCCCATTTCTCCCCATTTGAGCAAATATCATTGAAGTCTCCCACTACAACCCATTTCTCACCCCATTCCCTCTTTTTCTCGTTTATGGTCTTCCATTGTTGCTTTCTTACCCTGTCCTCCGTGCTAGCATAAATTCCTACTAGCCACTAGTGATCATTCGTATCCTTGTCTACCACCTTTGCTGCAATGTACCAATCAGTGCCGTGTACATCCAGGAGTAGCACATCCTCCTTCCAAAACAAGGTTAATCCCCTTGCTCTACCCGTAGAACTCACAACAAAACAATTTTCAAACGGAATTCTTTTTTGTACTTGTTTCATATACCTTTCCTAGTTTTTTGTCTCACTAAAAAACACAATGCTAGGAGAGTGGATGTGAAGTACCTCCTTCAGTTGGGGAATTGTCAAGGGGCCTCCTGCACCTCGACAATTCCACACCGCTACCTTCATTGTGATGGTAGAGGCATTGTGGGGCTAGCCTCCAATTCCCCTCCCTGTGGATTAGCATCTTGGTCCAACTTTAAAAGCTTGTGTTGTGTACCTTCTGCCATGTCTTCTTTCATGATGTTCAGGTCTTGCCTCTCCTCCAGTGTTTTCCTTTTCTCTCCGCATCTACTCACTATTCCTTTATCAGTGTTATCTCTTAATGGTACCCTTTTAGGTCGTAAGCTCCTCCTCCATTGTTTTTTCCCCTTGTTTGCTACCACTGGCTGGAGGTCGACTACTATCATTTTTAGTTTCAATCTTATCGCTTACCATACACCCCTTTCCAGAGTTGTCTATCACCTCCCTTCCTGTAAAGTCTTCTAAATCCATGTCCTCTGGATTACGACCTTCATTCCTGCTCATGCTTTTTCTCAAGTCCACTGTTACCTTATTGATTTCTATATTTACCAACTCTCTAACTCCATTTCCTCTATGTGTTTTTCCCCATCCTCTTTCCCTTTCTCCTCTCTTCTTTCCAACTCTCTACTAACTCTCAGAATCTCTTCCCATTTCCTTTCCATTGCTACTTTTTCCTGCTCGCTACCCTTGCGCTCTTTGATACCCCCTCTTTTGCCCGTTTCAACCATGCCCCCAGATCCTTTCTCAGTAAGTGTCCCAGCACTAGAACTTGGTCCTTTGTTTACCATTGATACCTCCATGATCCTCTGATTATCTTCTGTACCAGTCATCTTACCAGCTCTCAAAGGGGAGATCATTATGTTCCCTGCTCTCATCCAAGCAACATACTGACCTTCCCTACTAGACTACCCATCCCTTCTTTCCCCATTACACGATTTGTCCCCATGTCCTATTCTCCCACAATTGTAACAAAAGTCCGGACAGCGCTCATATTTAAACTCCACCCAGGTGTTCACTCCCTCAAGTTTCACCAACGTTCCTCTCGGGGGAGGTTGTAGAACATCGATCTCAGCCATTATCTTCATATGCCTCCCTTCTTTCCCCTCTCCTGGAGGAACAATTACCTCTTTTACAGATCTAAAGAGTTTCCCTAACTTAAACCCCACTGATCTACACAACCAGTGAACTGGAAGATTCCAAATTTGCACCCATAAATAAGCAAATCTAAAGTGGTTAAGCTTTCTTTCACATCCAACCTCCCACTCTTTTATCACTAGTATCTGATTGTCCATAATCCACGACCCTCCCTCCAGAATTTTTTCACGGTCTTCTTCCTTTTCTAACTGGAATTGAAACAGATTTGGACCTAACTCAGTTACAACCATATTTCTGGGATAACCCCAAACATGGTTAGTAAAGTTTTTAACCCCTGTGAAATTTGCCACCTTATCTCCTATCAATCTTCCAACTAAGCTTCTGCTACAATCCTGGACCCCCCCTCTTATATCATCAGAGCAGAGATCCACTCCTTCCAGTTCCGACATAGAGAGCTCAAACTTACTAAAAAGCTCTTGTTAATTCTTCCTCCATCCTCCAGAGATTCGGCAACGTTGACTCTACCGTGCACTATTTCCTTTCGCAGATGCTCCAAATGATTAAACCTGCAAAACAGAGTAGAAGAACAAAGGGAGTGAAAAAGGAAACAGAGTAGAAGAACAAAGGGAACAAAAAAAACTCAGAAAAACTAAATTGTACTCCTACAGCAAAGAAACTAAAAACCCTCTAGCTCACAACTCAGACTCAGCTAATTACATGAACACATTTTGTGGATCTCATCCTTCCACTGTTCTCAGGATCATGGCTTTTTTCACAAAAGGAAACAGAGGCTTAAACTCGAAGAATGGATTATTGGTGTTATTTTGGATGTCTCGGTTGTACGGAAGTTGAAGAGTCACTATTGTTGGCTTTGAAATTTCGGACGTTCTTTCTATTTTTGGGTTGCCGCTACTTTTTGAATTTTGAAACCTCCTATTCGCAGGAGAGGAGCTCTCAAACTAGAGAGAGAAACTCCTACATAGGAGAGAGATGAGCTTCTGTCATTAGAAATCTCTATGAGAGGACAAAAATATCACTAAAAATCCTTAAGAGAGAATAAACTCTCACTAGGAAACTCCATGAGAGAAGAATAGAGGTGAGCAAATTTGGTACGTACCGAATTCATATCCGAATTCAAATTCAATTTGATAATTTGAAATCGGGTATTTGATAATTTGGTATAAAAGCGGTATTTATCGAATTCACCGAATTCTAATACGGTATGAAATAGATAATGAGATTATGAATTTGGTAATAACCGATTTCAAATTCGTTTATAAAGAATTGGTTTAGTATTAGTATATACTACTAATATATTATTATATTATATAGGTAAATGCTATTAATAATAGTTAGTATATGGTATTATCGTGTACTTATGATAGTAATGATATATAATAATGTACAATATACTATTTTAATATTTGTTAATTGTTATATGACTATAATAATACAAATATACAACAATACATAACATAACTATAATACTTATTATTTTATGCATGACTAGAATTAGATAATAATTAATAAGTATAGGTATAATACATAACTATATTTAGTATAACTATAATACTTATTATTTTAATTAGGCCGGAAACTACAATTAAAGGATTCAGCAATTTTTTTTAAATGAATTCGATTAACCCAAATTCATTACCGTTTCCAAATTCAAATTCGAAATTGAATGAATTCGGGTATCTCCAATTCGAATTTGAAAGTAGTTAGATTTCCGTAAGTCTAATAACCGAATTCATATAACCGAATTATCGAATATGCACTGTTTGCTCACCCCTAGAGGAGAATAACATCTTTTGCTACTAGAATAGCATAGCCCTCAATTTGATGAGTACAAGAGTTTCAGATACTATCCTCATCCACCAAGCTTCACAAACAAACTGAAAAATAGTAGAATACAAATGCATCCATACAATGGTGAAGTACTTTTAAATTTCGGCATTGCAAGACAATGTATGTGAACGCCTAGGATGAATTATGCAAAAAGATTCTTGAAGACCACAGGCTACGAGTCTTGATTAGGCACTTCTCTGCTGTAAAATTTTCCCACTACTCTGGAGTCCAGAATTTCAATGGCTTTCTCAGACTTTATGTTCTTAGGTGTCTTGTACTGGTTTAAAGAAGTTCCTTGAGAAACATAAAAGTCCATGAGCACGTTGAATGTTCCTTGTTTCACAACTCTAATTTCCAGAGGACCAATGGTACTGATGCTCTGATTCCTCAGCATCTTATATTCCAGGTCCAGAGATTGTTCCACTAAACTACAGCATTTTTCCATTTTAACCTGATCAAGTTCAGGTATATCATCGTTTGATCTGAGTTGAAGCTCCCAAAATAGTACATAGTGACCAGGAATAGAAGATGTATCATCATAGCTACTGTAATCCAAAAGAAAGAAGCCAAGTGGTTCAAGGATCTGAATTGCCATTGCAACTGCTTTCTGGAGGTCTTGTTCAGTTGTTTTATCTGTGTGAATACTCAAAACCACATTTGTCCTTTGTCCAAATTTGAATTGGGGAGTGGAATTGTGAAAACCTGTCACCAGGACAATATCCCGCATTCCGTACCTGTACAAACCTGAAAATACATTCTTCCATCAATATTCTAGACATTAGAGCGTTTAAGCATTTAAACTGTCTAATCATCATTGGTTGTGTGTATCAGGTACTGAAAAACAGAATGTAATAAACCTATATTCGACAAGTTTGAACATCAGAACAAACCGTGCACATTAGATGTCCAAGGCAATTGTTAAGTAGAAATTTACGGAACTACCATCCATTTTAGAACATGATAAAGGGTATAAAATGGAGACCAGTAGACACCTTGAAGAGGCACTTCTGTGTTTTATCGAATACTTTTTCATGGGACAGACTAACAGAATTATAGTTCATATCTGTGGTACACCACAGGCAGTTAGGGTCAATTCAAAAGTACAGTGATCTCACCTGTAAAGGTCATGACAAGAAGTTCATAATGCTGGCCAATCTTAACATTAGCAAGATCCACAATGTGATCTTTCAAATGAGCATCTTTCCTGTTGGTGCAGTTTGGATCTTGATGATTGTCAATTGGCAAGAACTCATAGTAGGCCATGTTTGGTATAAAAGTATACGAGACATCATAAGGACTGCACAAAGGTTTCATGTTAATCCCACAAAATGCCTCTGAAGAACCATAAACTGATGAAACTAGAGGTAATCCACCCGTATAGAACTCAAGCGCAGGGATATATTGTGCCATGGACCTTGTAATAATGGCCATGACATACTTGGTCCTTGGCTTGATCTTCTTAATTATCCCTTCCCAAGACTTTTCTTGGCATACAAGATCAATTGAATCAGCCAAATCTGGCATTTGTTTGCTCAAAATCAAGGAGACAGCCCTTTTGCAGTTAGGGTCAGTGATCCAATCACTCATTTGTCCAGTTCTTATGTTGGAAGACATTTCTTGCCAATGTTCCTCAAAAAATTTGATTATCCTTAACAAACCCGAGGCGAAAAATGTACCAATGCTTGCTATCGCATCTCGCTGCACAAGGCCACAAAGTAATTGACTATACAAGCTCTGATTGGTATCTTCACACAATATAACCTGAGGATATCTGTCTTTTCTGTTCTTTATCTCGCTTGCTGTAGTTGTTCTTAAAACTAAGCCACCAGGAGTGTGGGTATCCGGGCTGATAAGGACAAAGGACAGCGCTTTCCCATCGTTTAATCCGTGAAGGTACCTTAGTTCAAAGCTATACATTTAGCACCTTTTATTTGATTCTCATAATTCTGCCGAAGAAATAACAACTGTAAATTCATTGCATTAGTGAATTTACCTATTCTGAACAGTAGCAAGGAGACAAAAAAAGAAGGCCCTGCGCTCTCCCTCCTCAGTAGTTTTTGGAATCCACTTTTGTTTCCCACCTGAAGTGCCTAAGCTGCCAACGAAGTTAATGATTTCAGTTCAGAAAAATAAGAAATTCATGAAAAAGAACAGAAATGACTCGCGCTTCAGCATTATTGAATTTACTCTCACTCCATTCAGGAGTTTCCTTTCATCTAATTGGAACAAAACAAAGAAATTGATTTACCTTTTGAGTAGCTCAGTAATGGATTCATTAGTTAAAATCCGAGATGGCTCTCCATCTAGTGCAATTCGATCGATGTAAATCTTGATATCTTCATAATCTACCACAGGAACTTTATCCTTGAATAGTCCCTTATTAGAATGACCATTAAGAAAATCTTTCAAGTAATCAGTGCTTGCATTTTTAGTTAAAATCTCCTCCAGGACCTGTTCTTGTATATGACCAGCATTGCTGGTTATATCCTCCAAAATGCTCGAACCAGCTTCAGTATCTCTTGGATCAAAGGTTGGCAGCATTCTGGTAAAGAAAAGAAATGCAGAATCTGTGTTTGGGGATGGGAAATATACAGGGAAATTAATTAATGAATAAGCACGCTCAACTACATTGTCTTGAGGAAAAGATTCACGCCATGGTTAAGCCCTTTTAAACCCATTGGCCAGGTCATCCATCCTTTCATCCTCATTCCCTTCTCCAAGATGCCTAGTTAGCGTGCTGTATGTTACCATTGTAAAGTTGTAATGGTGTAAACAGAAAAACTCATTGAGTTGCTTAGTCTCCTTATGCTATGCTCATCACTTGCACAATCCAAAATCACCAAATGATCTTGAATGTACCTTCGATCGAGCTCTTATGGATCTATATCCATGCTTGAGTTCAGTCAAAATCGAATTCAAATCGAGTTCGAGTAATTTGAGTTGCTATACGAATTGAGTTGGATCTCCATATAATATTCCATATTTAGCTTATAGAGTTTTTATGTATATTTTGTCGAGCAAGCTCAATCTCAAGCTTCAGCTTGTCCTCATAATTTTCTTGAGTCAAACTCAAGCATGAACATGTGATGTTCATTGAACTTGAGCTCGGACTCAACCACAAATTAATTTTCTTTGGTCTTGAGTTCTAGTACCTCAATATTTGGTCTTGATTTGGCTAATAACACCTCTAGAGAGGTGATCCAAAATTTAAATGAATGGCACATTTCTAGTCGTAAAAGGAAGCTTATTCGTATGTGTAGACACCAAATTTTTATTATTTTTAATTTCATTTTTTTTATTTATTTATTAATTGGGTTAGACACCAAAAGTGGCTTTAATTCTCTTAAATTTGGTTTGAAAATTGTTAATTTATTTTTAATTGATTTTTGAAAAATGAAAATGAAAAAGAAAGAAAAATGTGTGGATAGGTGGAAGCGTGCATGTTGGACAAGTGTACAAAATAATCATTAGACAAGTGTCTAAGGAATTGTAGGACAAGTGTATAGAGAGGTAGGTGTCAAGGACACTTGTTGGGCTTAGGGAATTTGTGGAAAAAAAGAAACAAAGAAAAAACAAGCTACGGGGCGGAACGGAAAAAAAGAATAGCAGAAACACAAAGGAGGAAAAAAAGAAAAGGCTTCGGACAGGCAAAAAAAAACAAAAAGAAAAAGGAAAAAGAACAGAGCTTGAGAGGAAAAACAGAGGGGAGGGGACGATGAAAATCTGGAGAGCTAAGCAGGGGGCTTCGGCCTTGAGAGGAAAAACAGAGGGAAAAAATGGAAATTGAGAAGAGGTACGAAAGGAAAGAGCAAGGAAAGAGCGGCGGACAAAGGTTGATCAAGGTGGAAGAAGAGCTCGGGCAGGGGAAGAATTTTCTGGAAAAAGAAACGAGAAGCAGAGGCCGCCCCTGTTTTCTCCCCTTGTTTTTCTTTCGCGCACTGCCGCCCACCCCAAATCTCCTCTCTTCCTCACGCCATCTGCCGTTGCCTCACCGCGCGCAACCTTCATCGAAACCACCGCAGCCGTGAAGGTAGAAGCCGAGGCCATTCAGAAGAGCTTCGGGCAGAAGTAAGAGGGAAAGGCCGCGACCAGAGCCTCTCGTCAACTGCTTCTCCATCTGCTCCTCTTCCATGGATGATTTGAGCAGCAACGGCAACAGAGGTTTCCAATTCACCGAGCTGCCATAACCTCATCGAATCTACCATCACCATCTGTGAAAATTTCACCGGAACAAGAACACTGTAAGTTTCTTTCTCTCCAAAGAATTTTCAGTGCCTGCCTAGTTTTTGACATGGGTTTTCTGTGGTTTCATTTGGGTGCAATTTTCCTGTTAATTGACCTCATTTGGTTGAACACACATGCTGCATACGTGAATTGGATTGAATGTTTTGGTTGCTGATAAATTTTGGGGCCGGTTGTAGTGTAAATTAGGCAGAGAGTTGTTGAACTTTCCAATGACCGTTAGTTGTTTGATAAAATGACTGAGTAAAATTTTGAACCAAAAAGGAGAAGATTTTTATTCCTTTTTCTGCATGAGTTCAGGATGAAATCTGGCCAGTCCGAAACTGGCCAGAATCTGTGCATTTTCATCAGTTGGCGCAGGGAGAGAGGCCATGAACTTTTGAAATTGATTTTGTTTAATTTTGCTGTTTTTGCATTCCATAACGATGTGATGTTGTTGCCGTGTAAACTTGTCGGGTGTTTTGAAACATCAGAAGTTGCAGAAACTTTTCCATTGAAAGTTTGCATCGCAGAAGAAGGATTCTGCGAAGCATGAAGTATGAATCTCTGTAAATTTCAGTGTAGCCCCTCAATTCCTGTCTAATTTCACTATGACCCAAAATCTGGAAAATCGACCTAATTTTGCCCTTTAAGCTTATTCCTCTGTTTGCATATTTTATGCGATTTGTTGGATAGATTAATTCTTAGATTTGGATTATAATTATGGCCTAATAATTTTAGTTGATTTGCTAATCTTGTTAGGTTTGGTATTATGATTTGGGTTGTGGGTAATCATAATTTGTTTGGGTTTGATAAGTGGATTGATGACTTGTTTTTTCTGGGTTGTGACATGGGCTTGAGAAATGAAGCCCGTCTGTTTTAGTTGAATTTTGTTCGGACTTGAAGATAGGCTGGCCTGCTTGTGCTCTTAGGGTTTTCGGTTGGGCTAGGAAGGCCTTGGCCCACGAAATAAATACAAATGGCCCAATGGCCTGTTATGCCAAGAAGCCTGATAACGAAATTTCATTCCAGTCCCCTGACGTTCGAGTGTTTTCACTATGGCCCCAAAAACTTTCAATTTCATTCAATTGGGTCCTTACTTTAATTGCAAATAAGTCCTTGAGCTTTATTTTTCTTTAATTTTTGACCCCAAAACTTTGTTCATTTTTGCAATTAAGTCCCTTCTTCTCTTGACTTCTTAAATGTGAATTGTTGACATGATTTAATTGATTCAAATTCATGCTTATTTTTTATCCTTTGTGATTATTTGCCAAATAAATTGGTACCTTGACCTTTGTATTGTTTTGAAGCTAATATCTCATTTACTCGATTTCCATTGCAAGGGAGGTAACGTCTATATTCTTGAGTTTATTTTTCTTACGTGCTCCTACGTGTTATGTGAATATGCATGTCTACTTTGCTTTCTTTGCTTTTCTTTAATTCTTTCACTTATTTTATTTACTTTTGCTTTTTATTTAAGTTATTCATTTTGGGGTATGTGTACACCTCTTGGCTTGTAATAGTTAGGGATTTAATTATTTTATTCCTCTTCCCCCTTTTAGATTGTAGTAGGGTCTCCCTAATGTAATAGATAGGGCTTGGAGGAGCATTCAATGAAGACCTATCGAAGTCATGTGCCTAGCTAGCAAATGTAATAGTTAGGGCTTTAATTGTCTTATGTGTCTTGCATGCTAATTGTTACTACGTGTTAATTTGCTTTGTTAGGGCCTTGCATCTAGTCGAGCATGCTAATTGTTATGTGCTATGTGTTTATAAGTGTTTGGCATGTCTACTCGCTTTCTATAGCATGAATGAATGTGATGGATGAATGTACGTCACCACACTAGTCCAATGCTAGTTGTGGCTCATTATTTCATTAGGAATTCATAGAAAGGGCTAGTCCAACGCTAGACCCAATAGGATTTTTCCTTTGTTTTTCATTAATGCATTATTCGCCTGTTCACTACATATCATGCATTTTTCCTTACTTTTATCATCTGGCATGCTCCTCGATTCCCCTGTCCCCTCACTTTAGGTCTTGCATCTCATGCTAGTTAGGGTACATTTACCTGAAGAGTCCCCTTAAATATGGGATATAGACGAGTGTGACTTTTTTTAAGCCTTAGCACGCTTGTATTCCCTCTATCAAAGGGCAAATTGAGTCACGATTTAGGTCTCCCCGTACCCAATATGCATGAATTCCCTAGGCTCATGCATTCTCAATCCACTCTATCATTACACTTTCACTTTTGTCTCATTTGCACACATGCACCTTTTTATCACCTTCACTTGCACACGAACACTTTTTTGTCCCCACTTGCACACGAACCCTTTTATTTTCACTTGCACACGAGCATTTTATCTTCACTCGCACACGAGTACTTTCATCTACATTTGCACTCTTATCTTATTACTTTTATCATTTTTCTCGCTTCACACAAACTCACACTTTCACATGGCATGCATTCCACTCATTTTTCACGTCATTTAGGTTTAGGTGTGACCTCTCCAAAAGGATCATTATTGGGCTTCACAATTAATGTGATTGGCACCACTCAACCTTTGAAGAGAAATTTCCCCCAATCCCCCTAGGTCTAGGTTTTTGCATTCATATAGACATATCCAATACGCGATACATACCTTGGGTAGAAAAATTAGGAAAAATTGGTTAAGTCGCGCAACTAGCCTTGGCTAGG